TAAATTTTACAAAAGATTGTAAAATATTCTACATTAGATTTCACGTCCAACTGGGATCGTCATCAATGTCGATAAGAGCACAGAGAGATTGAAGCGGAAGAGCATAGGAAATTCTATATCGTAGTGCGTCGATAATATCTCGGAAAGTGAAACTAGGCTACCGAGACTACGATCCAATGAAGAGAATTACGGAATTCCATTTCAATCTTATATCTTAGAATCAAATTATTATTTCTTTAATAATAATTTAAATCATTCATCTTATTGAAATATCGTTATCATTTTATTATAAATCATTAATTTTACAAAATTTCGCGTAATGATCCAAATGTATAAATCGACCAAATTTTATGACAATTAACAACTATGTAGTAACAACATGAAACATTTTACATTAGAAAAAGATTAATTTTAATTCATTCCATTTATTTTCAGAAATAAATTGTTCCTTAATTACATCTGTCACAATAATAATAGAGTAAAATTTGCAGGATTAATTTTTCGCGTGACTATTTCTAGCTGCTTGACTCGAGTCAGTTTTTTAATTGGTCGATAGTGCTCGAAACGGAGCGAGAATCGTGCCCGGATGACCTCAGAGTTGCAGAGCTTCGGGGTTGCAGGTACGCAACTGCGGCCTGTCCCATATTCTCATGGAGAGCTCGGACGCTCGATAACCGAGATATCGAGACGTGACGTAGGTGTGAGAGGCGAGTGAACCGGCCCACAATCGTGCGCTGCTCAGTTCCTGTGTGCGTGCGTACGTGCACATACATTACGTACACTTTACTTAATGAAACAATTGGACTGACCCGGACTACTGCTCTGGCGTTGTCGACACTCGTTTCGCGAAAGAAAAATACGACATAGAAGCTGCGACCGGATCATTGATGAGGATCGTCGCACTCCTTCTCGACAAGAATAGAGAGAGTTGTTAATACATTATTCTGGAGTTAATTCAAAACTGAATATTTACCACTCGAAGTAATACGTTTTACACATATTTATATTTACTTTTTAAAATTCTTAGGACCGATTGTTCCATCTTCGGATAAATTATGTGATAATTTATCTAATGCATAAAAGAGTACAAGAGTAAGAATAAAAATTGAACAACCCGACTTTAGAATGAATCTCACTCTGAAGAGTGAATTCTCACTCTTAGGGATTGAAAATTGAACTTTTTTTTTTCAAGATTGGCTCAATTTTCGCCCTTTAGAGTAAGATTTTATTTCAAAGAAAATTTAGAGAGTGAGAAATTTTTAATTTTAAATTAAATTTAATATTACTACTAATATAAAAACGCTTAGGCTTTGATTACTTTGTTCGACTTATGTGTCTCATTACTCCAAAATATTAAATAACGGATGTAACGGAACGAAAAACTTTGATTCGGTACGAAGATCGTTCGTAGAATCTTATGCTTAAATCGACGTGTTGTTTATGATAGATGCATCTTCGGACATTCTCTAAGCATTGCACGTGCCTTACTGGTCAGTGGTCTTATTTTGCGAAATTATTGCCACGATAGGCACTAGTCCGGGTCAGACCAATTCGCTTCATTAAGCGGAGCGTGTACAATGCATCACACGTACATGTCACTTGGTTACGAGGTGATACTGCCTGCCCCGCGTTTACACCTACGCGTGGTTTATGACAAGCATGTGGGGCAGGTCGCAGCTGTGTACCTGCTGCATCACAAGTGCTCGGCACTTGTAATGTGCGCGACAGATTATTATTTCATTTGTAACCGTACTTTGTAAAACGACCATGCGACGAGGAGCGTTTATTGTAAGACGCTAATTTTTCCTCGAATTAATGTGAGGTGCAATTATATCACAAATATTTTACATTTAAAATTTGAAATTTAAAAACAAAATATATTCCACAAAATATAAAACTATAGCTAATTATAATTATTTTTTTTTAATTGTACAAAAAGTGACTCTCTGATAAATTTACATTATTTATTTATTAATATGTACTAAATTATATTTTATATGGAGTAAAAAATGCTGGTATATTTTCTTAAAAATTAACGCAATGTCATGGCTTATTTCGAGCTTTAATTAAAAAATCTTCCTTACAAAGCCTTCCTCAGTGCTACAACACAGAAATACAATCTTAAATTAATGCCCAAAGAAAAACGGATACAATGAAAATTTAAAAACATCAATGGTGAAGTATCAAAATATAAAAAAGAACATAAAAAAATATAAAAAAAAATTTCAAACGTCAATAGGTATCCTGCCAGATGATAATAAAGTAGGAACAGTTGGATACTTCAATCAACAGTAGATTAATTATATTTATCGATAAAGATAGATTTGCCAAATTCCTCGGTCGAGAATCCAGTTTGTCAGACTTGTATCATACGATTTGAGAATTCTTTAGTTACGAGTATTAATTTAAGATTGTATTTCTGCGTTGTAGCTGAGCTTCCCTGAGGAAGGTTTTGAAGAGAAAGCCGAAACGTTTGTTAATTATATTAATTCAAAGTTAATTAAAGCTCGAAATAAGCTATGACATGTGTGTATTTTATATATTACAATACATGTATTAATAATAATTCAATATTAAAATAAAAATAATTATATATAATATTGAAGTAAGTTATCGAAAAATATATACATATATATTATCTATCTAGAACATTTATTTTAATATTAGATAATATTTAAAAAATTAACAAATTTATCAGAGTTTATTAAATCTAATTATGAAATGATAATATTATACAATTTTAATATACGTATTTAGTACGACATAGAAGCTGCGACCGGATCATTGATGAGGATCGTCGCACTCCTTCTCGACAAGAATAGAGAGAGTTGTTAATACATTATTCTGGAGTTAATTCAAAACTGAATATTTACCACTCGAAGTAATACGTTTTACACATATTTATATTTACTTTTTAAAATTCTTAGGACCGATTGTTCCATCTTCGGATAAATTATGTGATAATTTATCTAATGCATAAAAGAGTACAAGAGTAAGAATAAAAATTGAACAACCCGACTTTAGAATGAATCTCACTCTGAAGAGTGAATTCTCACTCTTAGGGATTGAAAATTGAACTTTTTTTTTTCAAGATTGGCTCAATTTTCGCCCTTTAGAGTAAGATTTTATTTCAAAGAAAATTTAGAGAGTGAGAAATTTTTAATTTTAAATTAAATTTAATATTACTACTAATATAAAAACGCTTAGGCTTTGATTACTTTGTTCGACTTATGTGTCTCATTACTCCAAAATATTAAATAACGGATGTAACGGAACGAAAAACTTTGATTCGGTACGAAGATCGTTCGTAGAATCTTATGCTTAAATCGACGTGTTGTTTATGATAGATGCATCTTCGGACATTCTCTAAGCATTGCACGTGCCTTACTGGTCAGTGGTCTTATTTTGCGAAATTATTGCCACGATAGGCACTAGTCCGGGTCAGACCAATTCGCTTCATTAAGCGGAGCGTGTACAATGCATCACACGTACATGTCACTTGGTTACGAGGTGATACTGCCTGCCCCGCGTTTACACCTACGCGTGGTTTATGACAAGCATGTGGGGCAGGTCGCAGCTGTGTACCTGCTGCATCACAAGTGCTCGGCACTTGTAATGTGCGCGACAGATTATTATTTCATTTGTAACCGTACTTTGTAAAACGACCATGCGACGAGGAGCGTTTATTGTAAGACGCTAATTTTTCCTCGAATTAATGTGAGGTGCAATTATATCACAAATATTTTACATTTAAAATTTGAAATTTAAAAACAAAATATATTCCACAAAATATAAAACTATAGCTAATTATAATTATTTTTTTTTAATTGTACAAAAAGTGACTCTCTGATAAATTTACATTATTTATTTATTAATATGTACTAAATTATATTTTATATGGAGTAAAAAATGCTGGTATATTTTCTTAAAAATTAACGCAATGTCATGGCTTATTTCGAGCTTTAATTAAAAAATCTTCCTTACAAAGCCTTCCTCAGTGCTACAACACAGAAATACAATCTTAAATTAATGCCCAAAGAAAAACGGATACAATGAAAATTTAAAAACATCAATGGTGAAGTATCAAAATATAAAAAAGAACATAAAAAAATATAAAAAAAAATTTCAAACGTCAATAGGTATCCTGCCAGATGATAATAAAGTAGGAACAGTTGGATACTTCAATCAACAGTAGATTAATTATATTTATCGATAAAGATAGATTTGCCAAATTCCTCGGTCGAGAATCCAGTTTGTCAGACTTGTATCATACGATTTGAGAATTCTTTAGTTACGAGTATTTTATGATATTCTGTAGAACAAATAAATTTATTACGAAATAAGCTATGACATGTGTGTATTTTATATATTACAATACATGTATTAATAATAATTCAATATTAAAATAAAAATAATTATATATAATATTGAAGTAAGTTATCGAAAAATATATACATATATATTATCTATCTAGAACATTTATTTTAATATTAGATAATATTTAAAAAATTAACAAATTTATCAGAGTTTATTAAATCTAATTATGAAATGATAATATTATACAATTTTAATATACGTATTTAGTATTTTAGCATACAAATTGTTTTCTAATTTTGAAAAGCGCTTATTGAAAAAATACTTCGTATTTTTAACCAGGACTATTGCAGATCTAAAAAATAAAATATATTTATACACACATAACACGCGAGAGTGTTACTTTTACTTTTTGCACGTATATAGATAAAATCATTGCAAATTCATCTTATTATTGTTAAGTCCTACATACCCGTTATACATTACTAATTCGAGCCATATACTTTCAGAAGTAATTTTACAAGTCCCGAGGCAATGTTTACGAGATATAAAGCTATTTGTATTCTCGAGACGAGTTTTCACCAGCTTCCATCGGATTGTCGCGTGTGAAACTGTACACGAGCCGCGTGAATTTTTTCGTTAAACGTGAAGACACGCAAACCACGTGTCATCTGGTCGCTGCAGCATCACGCCGACAGGGGGCCTGGATGGGTGGACTGATCCGGTTGCAGCTCCCACGTACCTGCTGCACCGCAGCGGCCGAGGTCATCCGGGCAGCACCTCTTATCCTCGTTCTCGGTCCGATCCTCTCGCATAACCATGTCAGCTTTTTCACTTTCTTCACTTTCCTCGTCACTCGATCGCCAAACTTCCGCGTCTTGCCCTTTCTGTCTCTGTCGGAAGTTTAGTTAATTTTTGTACGATGAATCTTAATGTCGTTGTTGCGTTTATTATTCACATGTTTAATAAGATGTTGTTACTTTTTTCTTTACATTTTTGTCTTATAAATTTGTGATAGTATTGTACAATTATATATTCGTGCAGATTTTAAGTGTGTAATCTTGTAACTTATTTAGTTATAATTTTAGGTAATGAGAGAAAATCTCATATTGAGAAAGGACTTGTACTCTTAGGATTATCATCTTTCTTTAAGTTTATTCCTATTTTAGATTTGTATCATTTTGTATCAAAATTTTACGTATATTTTTACTTATTATCACATAATTATGTAGGTTTCGTGAATATTGTAGTATATGTAATATATTTCGATCGCATCTTGCATTCAATATTTCGAATATTTCCCTTAACTCTGCGGTGGAGTTGTGCAATTTTTGCGCAATAGCATTAAGTGAAGAAGCAACGATAAAGGGTTACGCCCGCGAGATGACCCCCTCAGAAAAGAGTTTCTACAGTCTCGAGATCCATGTTTTTCCAGGAACGTTCCCTCGGATCCATTACGACCTCTCGAACGATTCATTTCGAGTGCCCCTTTAACGACGTAACGAAGAATCCACCGCGCGAATGTCATTTCCGCGAATTCATTAAGGTTGACGCGCGGTGTAAACTCGCACGGAGTGCAGTCGCATAGTTACTGAACGCTTGAAATAAACGCATGGTGCGTGAGCCCGAGCCGAGCGATTTACACGTGTGCACGCACGTGAGTGCACGCATGCGACGCGTTGAGACGACGGAAACGAGCAGGTCTTGGATTGTGAGTCGCTCAGACTATCGTTTCTAGTCGCTTTGAAGACGTTGAGAAACCAACAAAGAAACTGAAATTTTCTGTGTAACATTATATATATATATATACAGTAGATAAAAATTTTGTGTTTAGTCGATGTATAAAACTATTACGTAAAATTTGTCAAGAAAAATCTGTCCAGGAATTTCGATAAAATTGAGAATTATCTATTACATTAATTACATTATATTCATCAATTTCACCAATTTCAATCACATTTTCTGCTGTCAATCTTTTGAAAATCAAGAAGTTAGAAAGTAATGTCCTTCGAGATCTTGAGGTTTGCGTAATTTTGATTACGAAAAAAATTATAAGATTGACGTAGTGCACGGCTTGAATCAAATTTGTTTGACACACCTGTGCGTCGTATTTATCTGTCTGGCATAATCCACTTTCTGCAATGTGTTCGTTTATAGAAGCGAGCGTATACGTATCTCTTACTCGCTCTCTCGAAGTACTCAGGATCAGTCTAGAAAGAAAGAAAGAGATAATGCGTTCACTTTAACTGAGTTTATGCGCATCTTTCAATGTTGAAGGATGTCGGTTGGACATGGAACAAAGTAAGGAGAGTTGATAAGTTAAAGATGCTCTTCAACTTATTTCAACTTATTTTTCTTTATTAATATAAATCTTAATGTCTATATTATGAGAGTCTTTGCATTCTGCATTTAACTGGAATGAGAAGTGAGATTTCGAATTAAAAGCTTATTGTATCAAAAAGTAACGTGTAACGAGTGTGAAGCAATAAGTAGGAACTATTTAAAAAGATAATGTATTCCGTATATTCGAATAGGCTGATGCAATTACAGTGATATTTGAGTCGATTTAATTTCATTATGCTCCTCACTATTAATAATTTTTTCATTTGAATTATACATGTTTCACTAAAATTCACATTTGATATTCGCTTGAAATGTGACGTAGAAATAATTTCTTTGTCGCAGAGCAATTAAAGTTTAAAAATGTACTTTTCTCTTTTTTACATAATCCAAAAATTCTAATGCATGCATTAAGAATCAAATTAATTGAATTAAAAAATTTACTTTACTGATATAATATGCATTGAATTATTGCATTGAATTATATTTGTGTACATGAAATTATTATTATTAACAAGTCAATTAAATTAATTAGTAGATTAAATTGGAGTAAGAAATATCTTTATATGCTAAAATAATTATAGTAACTAGTGGAATAATTTCATGATGATTATGCAACTTGATAAATTGAATTGAGTGAATCATTGAGTGGGATTTTGACGTAAAAATCGGATTTGCCCTACGGTCAGATAGAGTCGCCGCGTATAGAAAGACACGTGGATTATTATTGCCAAGAGAGCGATGAAACCGCAGGAAACTGCCATGAATCAACCGAGACCTTGATGCCAATGCACCTTTGCAAATTATTCTCACTTGCGCCACGATGCAACCCTAGAACGTGGGATGCAGTATATGCATATGAGTCGCGACGACGTATCAGTTTTAGTGTGCCGTAAGCCAGTGTATTACACCACGCGCAGGTTCCTTTAAAATTAACTCGTAATGACTCTGTAAGACTCATCGCTGTAAATTAGCGGGCATCACGGGAAAGCAGCAAACCAACCGGAATTGTCGAAACGACCTCGGTAATTTTAGTGATGCAATCGAGATTTCTGAGCGGCTTAGAGAATAAGAGAAAAAGTAATACTTGTGTGTAGGTCGACGAGTACAAATCCAAACCGGTTCATGTATCTGAAAAATTTTTTAACCTACCTCGATTGATGCATTTAGCTTGTCTTTACAGAATAGCTTGAGTTATTTATTTTCTAAGACGTACTTTATAATCGACCAGCGATAAAGAATCATTGTTTGCTGATCGGTACTTGGATTGTCGAGCTGGTTACAATGAAGCGTATCCAATCAAAGAGGCGTGATCCACTATCGATGGGGAAGTAGTAAGAAAGAGAGAATAGCTTGCAAGAAAACGGTTAGATCGCAGGTCTTGAGAGGAAAAAGACGACGGCCATGTAGAGTAGGCTTGGCCATGAAGGGGGGACCATCTAGGCTCCATGTTAGTCGCCTCGCGTACTCACCGGAGTCCGCGTAAAGTCCGTAAAGTTCTCAAATCGGGAATGGATAACCGGCCATTGGCCGGTCCGGTCGCATCTAATTCCCGCGACTTGTCACAAAAAGCGCACATTGTTGCGCGTCTCTCACAATAGCCTCGGCGCACACGCACGTGTTCGAATAGCTCACAAATAGCCCCACGTTAGTCCAACCACCACAAACTAGCACACGTTACTGCACGCGCGTTGCATAGGCGATGTAATAATAGATTGTATTCACGGTCCCGTGTATGCTGCGGTGGTGCACGGCCCCCACCGCAAATTACGGACAATCATCCCCGCCGTGCGCGCTATCCGTATCATCCTTTTTTTTGGCAAATAACATACTGCTTGCATCTACAGGGCGTCCATAGACGAAAGATGCAGAGTTGGGAATCTTGGACATATGTTACCGTTCCGGCGGAAATAAGGCTCGAATTTAAATAAGAATTACTATGATATGACTTCTTATGATTGATAATTTTAATTTAGGATCGAGAGTTATCGTGACGTTGAGTAAAGCTTTTTTCAATAATGTAGTAACTCCTGCTCGAGTTAAGAATGATACATTGGGATCCACTATTTTAACTTAGATATTAAAAATTAATCCTGTATAATAAATGAAACTAATCAAGACTCCTTATAAATGAAAGAACTTACATGTTCACTTTTGAGCCTTCCTCAGAAACAACATAAACTAACATATATAAAAACTGCGATTACTTTTCAACTTTCTTGTTCTTGGAATTGATTAAGAATACATTTTTCCATTTATTATCTTGGAAAATTATTAAAAAACAAAATGTGACTCACTGTGTCTGATACTGACTGGCCAACATTATCAGGAGCCGGTTTCTTGAATTATTTTTATAGTAATGCTTGCGATATGGTGCTCTGTAAGCATGGTGAGCGTCCTTTGCTGGATAATTAATTATAATCTTAAAATTGTTTGATAAATTAGTTCTCCATATTCTATTTTATCATATTTTCTAATTTTTTTTCTTTTTTTTTTCTTTTCCTTTTTCTTTCACTCTTTTTGGTTTTAATTCTGACATTTAAATTCTCGATGTAGGGGAGCTCATCATGACAGGATAATTTTTATTCACATTTTTATATATGTTAGTTTATAATCTCTGAGGAAGGCTCCAAAGTGAGCCGAAACATATAAGCGCGTTTTAGTGAATAAAGAAGTTTCACACTTCATAGATATATTATTTGCGCGACGTCTTCTACGCTTGACTGCCCATATCCTTTCCAGTTCTTAAAAAATTAATTTATTTTTATAGTCTCTTTAGAAGAGCTTTTGTTAATTTCAAGTAAAATTCATAAGTACTTAGCCGATAATTTAATTAAAATTGTATATTCCTTATTTGTACTATACTTCTGCCAAAAATGTATCTGTATTATAAAAGTCAGGAAAAATTTAGTTAAATTTGAACGTAAACGAAAAATAATTAGAACATTATGTGAAGCAAATTATCGATCGCGTCTTTACAGTATTGTTCTATATAATTTTAAAGAAATTCACAAGACTCGAATCGCGTCCATTCTAATCTGACCACCCTGTGGCCAGCCCTTCACCGTGACTAGCGTGGCACGAAGTAGATATCGGGGAGAGCAAGTATTCTTTACTTCGCTGTGCAGTCCGCAGCTCATGGAAGCACGGACACCTACGACCTGACCACACGCAATCCTCTCGTCCCGCCTGTTCTCATCCTCCTTCATCCCGCCTTACCCTTTTCCATTGCAATTGATTTACAAACCCGTATTAAGCTTATGTACGCGCTCGAATTGAGCAGATGGCTGGCGGGCGAGCGCAGGATGTCTTTGTGCTACGATCGCGAGCTAAGTGCGAAATTATTGGGGGGCTTGATGCATCAGCAAGAAGGAGAGAAAGAGAATCGTGATGCGCGATAGTTTGCGTGAAGTCTGGGAAATCGCACTCGGATATCGGATAATAAATAGGTAACTGATATATACTACTTTTATATTATATAATGTTTCCACCACGGAAGGAATTTATGATTCTCTACTTGTTTTATATATGCAATTTTTATATTAACATTGTATTTAAATTTCGAAGAAATTAAAAAGCATTTTATTATAATTGTTTTAAGGCATACATAATTATAATTATACATTACATAATAATAATAATACAATATATGTCTATTATATATATATATATATACTTTATGAGTTTAATGCATTTCGCTAGTTTTTACTGTATCGAGCTTGAAATAAGAATTTAATTTCGCGCAGATATTTCCATTGCGAAGAAGACTCGATTCGCGAAGACTTCCGAGTGCGGATAAGATTGCATTGTTTAACGAAGTAGGTCGAGCGCGCCGTCCTGCTTTCGCGATACATTTTCTACCGACAGCTTTCGGGGTGGAGGAGTATTTCATATTCTCGCTCTCCTTCAATCCTGCGCTTTCTTTTTGTGCTCACGCGGGATCGTTATTGCGAGCTTGCGCATTATATTTCGTGTCAGCTCCACCGTTAGTCAACTTTTGCACCAACTTCCTCCATGAGCGCGTTGTTTCAACCCTCAATGGTCCTCCCAGGCTCCGTGAAACTTCTCTGGTTCTCTGTGCCTCATTCATACGTTTCCATATAGATTTGTACAACCTTCATTGTTAACTAGTTGAAAGAGCGCCCTAAATATCCCATATATTTGTATTTTCAAGTACTGAATCGGTATTGAATTATTACTTGGAAATATCGCGTAATTTAACTGTCACACGTGTTAAATGCAATTTGCCTGATATTATTACTATTATTACTACTTATTTTAAAGAACGAAGAACGTTGTTATTATTTATGACTTATTATTATTATTGATATATTATTTTTATAATAACTTACATTACTAATTATAACATTCTAATTATTTGTTTGCGACGTATATGAAAACATTTGACAAAAATAAACAATGTGCAATGGTAATATGAAATAATTTAATTATATAGAATGAAAAGCATCGTTTTTCTGTTGATGCCAACAATCATCATGCAGCACAAGAGAATACGATAACTTTGCTGAGTAAATATGTCATGAAAACGACAAAGTTCGCACCTTTTGACACTGACGAAATGAAAGAGAAATACGAAAAACTCTTCGTCGCAAAACATCCAGCAATGCATATCGTGCTACAAGAAATACCGCGATGTACTGACAGCGCTCCGAATACATTCGTCGTTCTCGTTTCTCGCAGTTTTATCATCTCGTGAGAGAGCAACGAACGGCTCGACGCACCGCCATTGTGGTCCATTCGCACGCGTTCACTCTTTATGTAACCGAGAATGATGCGTTTTGCCCGTACTTTGATATTTCTGCGTATACACAATACAAAAATATTCCTCTGTATATCTATTATTTCCAGCGTAACTTCGTTTTTCAAAATATTGTCATTTTATGCCACTATTTTCTGTAAATAATAATAACAATTCCCATGTGTTTTTTACGCACATATTCATGCAATAATCGATGCGGTTAATGCAGTAATAAACTCTGTAGTGTAATTTATGAAAGACAATATACACGGAGAATTGCGCGAATTGTAATCTAAGGGAATTTGCGAGAGAGTCTCATAAGCGATCAATCTACAATGCAGGAATATTGCGATATCGCTGTGTATATTCTCCCGTACATAGGCATCTCATAATCGAATATTCCGCTCTTCAACGTTCGAAGGAAAAAAACATGTAAAATGTTCCAAAGATTACACGACGTGTTGAATCTAGATGTTGTGAATTGTTAATATTATCCGTGTTATACGCGGTTCTCAGAAAGCGGACAAACGATATTCACGATGCAGCAGGAGTAATGTGGGGGGGGGGGGGAGGGAAATGCGTTCCCTTTCTTTCGCGTCGCTTTCTACAATAGACTAGGGATCGAGATTCTCCGCTATTCCGCTCCGCGCGAAGCGGGAATTACTTTCGCTACTTTCAGCTCTCCCAACAATGCTGTGATTTAATAGAGACCGTGGGCACGCTCGCGTGAGCGCGCTACTTTCATCTTCCTTCGCTTGCGCGATTACGAGTTTTCTTGCCGTCGTCGTTCGTTTCTGTAACAACGCGTGCCTCGCACATTCATTCTGAGAGACAACGTCGGTTGAACGTTAATATTCCATTGTTACGCCCCGTAAGTCAAAGAAATCGTTAACTCGGTTCTTTCGGGTATAAACGTCTGCCATTGATCTATGCAATTTGTCTCTCGCAAAAGGAATATACGTATTTCCAGAAATTCTCTTTAACGTTCACGTCCATGATCTACAAACAATATCTTTCAATGTTATACTGTCCGTTTTTTTTTTTTAAATACATATCACTTATTCGATAGAAAAGCGACATATCTCAAAAGTAGCAACTTTCAAGAGAACATTTTTAAAGTTCTAAGTCGAAACAACGTTTTTAAGGAAAAATTGTATAATTCTAAATAGAACAATTTTTCTATAACTATTTCAACACCGACAATACTCTTTCACGGTGTCTAACTTAACGAAAAAAGTCTCTTTCCTATAAATAGTTATTGCAAACTTGATAAAAAAACAAGCAATATTATTACAAATGTATCATTTTTTTAAACAAAAATATACGTCTTTAGAATTGATTTCTCAAAGATGCTAATTTTACCACTGCTAGTTGTACCACTTTTCTGTCAAACAAGCACAGCATTGCGATATGTATACATATGGATACCTACACAATATCCAGTACTTTTCATATTACGTGGTAACTACATTCATAGACATTCATAGCTGACGATTTCCCGAAGTTTGCGCGGAATGCGTCGTAACTACATTTCTCGATTTCTTGACTCTTGTCTTCAAAATGTCCGGCTGTGGCGTCGAGTCTCCAAGTATTCACTTTCCACATTTTCGCGACGGGGGATCCAAGATCGGATATCGTGCCCATCGGAGCGATACGACCCAATCCGCAGAGTGCAATTTCACGAAGGGTGGTTATCGCATGCCGTAACGATTCAAGTTGCGACACTTCTCGCGTGGATGACGTTTCGTTGGATACGGCGTGGTTTGAAAGTTGCCATCGAAGTTTATTTCGAAATTGCACAGTCGCGCGATCTGATCGCGATCTCCCCAAAAAAAAAAAAGATTACAAAAAGAAAGAATAAAAAAAATTGGAAAGGA